AAATTTGAGCCTCATACCTACATCGGATTTTAATCAGATTGGTATCGGGGGTATCATATTTTAGAATACATTTCCATAAACATGCTAACTAGTATAAAATGTTATATGCGACTAAAAGATTAAATTGATTACAATTTTAATATTCTGTTTTTTTTCCACAGTACCACAAAGTAGGTATTCAACTGACACACATTTTATTTAATGTTCATATGTAATAGGTCACTGTTTTTTTGTTTTTTTCACGCAGTGACCACGAAGTGACATGTCAAGTACTGGTGTCATCTGTTGTCATCGTTGAATAGTCGTCACACGGATTAGCAACAGCTGTGAATAAACAAACCATGACACAAAATAAGTACTACCAGTACTGATACAATGTAATATAATCTTATTGGTTTAGGCATTTTAATATTTTGTAATGCTAACGATTGCACCCTATACTGTTTGAATGTCAGTCAAGCTCAGTGAATTCCCGATTTTCATTCCAGTATGTGGGAAACTTCATATTTTAATGCCATTTTTTTTCCAGCAAAAATGTTGGTGCAATTTTTCCCCGATTTCATTTTAATTTTTCTAAAATTTAGTTGTTAATTTTGAACAAAATGGACATAATTTCTGGTTGATTATGTAGGACATTTTTTTATCTGGTATATTTCGTGAAAATTAATTTCATGGTTTAACATAAAAAACACCTGTGAATCAATGCATCACAGACTGGAAAAAACATTTATCTAAATTAATATTTAATGTTATTACTGTTTGAAATCCATTGCTTTGCTATTGTAAGCTTATGTCATATTTTATAGAAATAGTTTCCTAAAATGCATGAACTTCTGGTGATGGGACCTGTGCAGTGGAAAAAATAGATGGCTATATCAACCTTATTTTTATTTAAATTTTAATTTCAAATAACAAACTATGCCATCTATGGGCTGTGACTTCAAGGTCATTTTACTGTTGTTATCCTCTTTCTCACCAAAAAGATTTAAAAAAAAAATTACCAGTAGTACTGTATAATCTGTGTTACAATGCAACAGAGGCGATGCGGCTTCTATTAGAGCATCTAAACATATGAGAAATGGTGAATTTTTAGTTCTAAAATATTCAAAAAGAATGGGTGCGACTTCTATGAGGGATGCATCTTTTAATACAGATTTTACGGTTGTACTTGTCATTGGTGCTGGGACTAATCTATTTGGTTTCAAAACCAAATTTTGACATTTTTTGATCAATATTTATAAATTTCATCTTCTGTCAGCTAGATGCAAAATTGATTTTGCAAATGTTATAATATGTTAATTAAAGTTGTTAGTATGCATGAATTCATGTCAGAACACTAGATTTGTTTGCAAATTAACCTCAGAAGGTGGAACATAATTTGTGCATTGACACAACATCAATGACAATTCATTCCTCCTGACCACATCTATTTTTATTCATTTATATCTAATTAATACCGATACATACCTGAAATAATGGGGGTTTATTTTTTCTGATTTTCTCTGGTACAAACTGGTGACTTCTCTGCCATCTAACAAAGTATGCATGCGTCTGTTTGTCCAACAAAGCTTTGTGGTCCCTCATCATATCACGACTTACGTACACAGCATTGTTTCCACTATGTAAAGTTGCATACAGTAGGAAGGGATCATCGTGAGAACTTAAATAAATCAAAGAAAGCTTAGAAAGAACTCCCATGTGCTGAGAGTATTGGAAACACATTAAATATAATTCGAAATTACTTAGCTGAAAACTAATTATGCAAATCAGAAAATTAATATGACCAGATTTGAGTGTAAAACTAATGAGGTCTGCGCAATGTAACAGAAAATCTATGTCTCCAAGTTTAATTGAAATGTGATTAGAACCAAAAAATTATGAATTATTATGCTTATTAGGGAATTAATATGAACAGATTTTTACCCCAAACTAATTAGGTTTGTACATTGTCCTAGAGCATCTTTGTACTAAGTTTCATTGAAATGGAATAATTAGTACCGTGAAAACTCCAAAATTTCGACCCCTCTAAAAATTCGATCGCCTATTTATTTGCCGGGTTTCGGTGTTTTATTTACCTCCAAATTTTCGACTCCACTAAAAATTGCCGACTCATTCTTATTCGAAAATTGCGACCAGTTTTAGTTTTCCCCCAAACGAAAAAAAACCCGATGTGAGCGTTCAAACGGGACCTTCCTCGAAGGCATGAATCCGGGTTTCTGATTGACTGAGAGATTTTTATTTTAT